AAACCGGAAGTGGCGCTGTAGCTCAAGTGGTAGAGCACTCGCCTTGAGCTGAAGAGCTGAGGGACAGCGCCCAGGCCCAGAGTTCAAGCCCCAAGACCGACAAAAACAAAACAAAAAAAAACAAGAAAGGTGTTTATGTTACTGTTTTCTCTCTCAGGTAAAGGATGGGCTTAACAAGAAGCCAGATAAAGGAGAAAATGGAATCAGGTATGAAGATTTCTCTAAAACTTAACTTGCAGCCAGGTACCAGTGGCTACACCCATAATCCTAGCTAGTCAGGAGGCTGAGATCCGAGAATGATGATTTGAAGCCAGCCTGGGTAGACATAACCAGGAGACTCTTATCTCCAATTAACCAGCAAAAAGTCAGACATGAAGGTGTGGTTCAAGTGGTAGAGTGCTAGCTGTGAGGGAAAAAGCCAAGTATAGATGTAGAAATAGGCATACATCACAAAGCTCAACATAAAGGTTGAGTTGTTCTGTTCTGTACTTGGGTGCTCACTCTACTGTCTCTTCTCTAAATTGGACAGTGCTACAAGCCTTCACTGAGGCTGGGACCTTCTCATCACTAAAGTAGTACAAGAAATCCAAGGTCTTCTACATCCTGTAACACCTAAGGAAGCGGTCCTTAACCACCTGTTCTTGCTGTCTAACACCTGTGTGGTCCTGGGAGGTGTAGGCCAGGATGGAAGCATTGAGATGTAGGACCCAGGCTAGTAGACACTTCAGCTGGCACTGGGCACTGTCACTCCAGCCCCATCCAGCTCTAGGTCTCCACCATCTGACAGCCATCGCTTTCAGCCGTCTCTCCAGACCCCTGGGTTGGGCCCTCTCTTCCTACAACCCTTGCCCACCCTTCCCTATCCCAGTCTCTGAGAAGTAAAGGAAATATGGACTTTCCTTCTCATCCCAAAAGAAGCCCTATCTGGGGATGTCTTCCAGCTACTCAGCAATGTCTGCTGTTGGTCATTTGCCTTTTTAACATGAAAGCTTTCCGAACAAATAGCAGAAAGGCCTGGCTGCCTTGGAAGGGAAAAGCATCTCTACCTGTCCCTACCTACTTAATGTCTGTAAACTGGGTAATATTGAAAAAGAACTTAGAACAGTACCTAACTTGTATAAAGTACTAGACTACTTCAGGAATACTCCACTGCGCTCTCAGGTCTGGACCCATCTCTATGGAGAGTCTGTGTTGCTCTCAAATAATTGTCTTAAGCTGGACACTAGTGGCTCATGCCTGTAATCCTAGCTTCTCAGGAGGCTGAGATCTGAGGAGCAGAGTTCAAAGCCAGCCAGGGCAGGAAAGTCTGTGAGACTCTTATTTCTAATTAGCCATCAGAAAATCAGAAGTGGAGCTGTGGCTCAAAGTGGTAGAGTGCTAGCCTTGAACAAAAATTGCTCAGGGACAGCACCCAGGTCCTGAGTTCAAGCCCCAAAATCAACTAAAAAAAAAGTCTTTCTTTGACTCTGCTTTCAAATAAGCTTTCTCTATCTGCCTTAAAAATAAATTAAATAAATAAATAAAGTATTCAGCTAAATTATTTATCTTAGGGGAATTGTTATAAGTGCTGAGCAAGGGTGAACCTAAGCTTGCTAACATTCACCTTTAGACTCCAGAAGTTTCTAACAGTCTTTTAAATTCTTTCCAAAAAGTCATCTCAACTTAATGCCTGTTGTATGTCTCATAGCCTAAAATAAGGTATTCCACAGTTCAATTCCAAGTGAGACGATTTTCTATTTCAGATTTGTAAATGCTTTTAACGAGGTAATGAACATCGAAATGAGTGGGAAAGCATATGAAAATATCACGAGTCACAACGCCAGCGAGTATCAGTTCTTTCCTTCTGGCAAGTAAGTACCTGTGTTGGACACGCCTCCAGGTTCTAAGATGTCAAGTCTTTATCATTCGAAACTATATCGAGGTTTGTAATACCAAGAATGTTAAACCCGATCATTCTTTCTTTCAATAGGAAAACCTTCACAGTAAGCTCAGCAGAGATTCCACAAGACTGTCCACGTGTCTTTCAGTCTTCCAACCTTGACTTTGGCAGTGCTTTTACTTATGTGATCAGAAGGGAGGTGAGTAACTGGTTGCTATCCATAGACATTCTCTCAGACATCCTGCCAGGGGTCCTCACGACACGGAGAAAAGTAGGATAGGTATTAGAAGTGTAGAATTCATCGAACTCACCATGAATGCTTCAAATTACTGTTGACTTGGGTTAACAGTAAAATAAAATATAGCAGTCTGATGTACAATGACAAAGATTTCATGTTGGCCAGTGTCTTGTGTTTCTTTACTATTAACAAAAATATAGCAACTTATTTAAAGAGATGACAATGGTTTAAACAAAGTGGACTTCCAAGCTACTCTCTTATTTAAAAGGAAACATTATCCAGACATGGTAATTCATGCCTGTATCCTAACACTCAGGATTAAGAGTTCAAGGCCAGCCTAGGTTACACAGCGAGGTCCTGCCTTTAAAAAAGAAGAGGAGAGAAAAAGGAAAGGAAAAGGAGCTACAAAAAAAAAAAAAGAAGAAGAAGGGAGGGGAAGTGGCACTGTAGCTCAAGTGGTAGAGCGCTAGCCTTGAGCTGAAGAGCTGAGGGACAGCGCCCAGGCCCAGAATTTGAGCCCCATGAGAGAAGAAGAACGAGGAGGAGGAGGAGAGAGGGAGAGAAGGAAGGAAAGCAAGTAAGCAAGAAGGAAAAAAGGAAGGAAGGAAAGAAGGAAGGAGAAGGAGACTAGTGAACACATTCTCAACTCCCACTAGGGCTTTCCCATCACGAGTAGAAGGCAATGTTGCATATTTACATTTAAATTATGTACTTCCTTTCTGTGACCATGGAGCAGCCCTAGCGGGGAACTCTATTGGCCTTGTAAAGAATTGTTGTTCTACGAGCTTTACAACGTCGGTGGGGGGGGGGGGGGGGGGGGGGGGGGGGGGGGGGGGGGGGGGGGGGGGGGGGGGGGGGGGGGGGGGGGGGAGGCTGGGAAGGGATGTGAAGGGTAAACAAAGGAGGAGGATGCAATGCTTGGTAAGAAATGTACGCATTATCCCGCCCATGTAATTGTAACCCCTCTGTACAGTATGTTCACAAATAAAATAAAATTAAATTAAAAAAAAAAAAGAATTGTTGCTCTAGAAAGTTTCTCCACATCAGTTTCAACTTGCTGCTTCTTGATGGTTTAGAGTAACGGCTGCCCAGGAGAGCTGGAGTTTGAAGACATCCCCCCCAACACAGTCAGCATGGCTCTGCAGATCCCGCAGTACTTCCTGCTCACCTGCGGCGAGGTGGTCTTCTCCGTCACGGGACTGGAGTTCTCCTATTCCCAGGTCTGTGGTTCCTGTCACCCATGTGCCCCCTCCCCCCCCGCCCTGCCCACCTGCAGAAGTCACTGCTGGGGCTCCAGCTACATCTGGGATGGCTGTTTATAGTCTTTAAAAACTCTAGGAGGCACTATGGAATCTTCAGAACAAGGTCTCTGAGATCAATGGGGTCTTTACTGACATTCCTGTGCCATGAGCTCTGTGAGAGCTTCTGTCCATGCGTCTGTCCCCAAAATCACACTAACAGTCAGTACTAAGTGGGAAAAAAAAGCTGGATTCATGTCAGGCTAGAACATTCTAGATTTTACAGTGAGCAGAGGGGATCAACTCCTCAGCAAAGTGCTTGCTGCCAAGTCTGTGTCTTCAGCTGAGATCTTTGTAGGTCCCAGTAACCACATCGAATAAGGCCTTGCTTGAAGAACAAGTTTAAGAAATCCTGCTTTTAAGTGTGATAGACAAATGAGGCAATTGTTCTGGGGTTTGTTGGGGGTTTTGTTGGTGGTGGTGTTGTTGTTGTTCATTTGTTTTTAGCCAATACTAGGGCTTGAACTCAGAGCCTCCCACCCTCGCTTGGCTCTTTTCACTCAAGGCTGGCACTTTTGAGCCACAGCTCTACTTGCAGCTTTTTGCTGGTTAATTGGAGGTTAAGGGTCACTCAGATTTTTTCTGGCTTCGAACCTTGATCCGCAGACCTCAGCCTCCTAAGTGGCTAGGTTTACAGGAATAAGCCACTGGTGCCTGGGACAATTATTCTGGATGCCCAGATTAGAGCTTGATTCTTGAACTATTTTGTCAAAACTACATTAATAGTCACTGTGCCCCACAATTTTCAGTACCTGCCATCCTTGTAGGAAAGGCGGTGGATGGGACCTGGTTAATCCTTTTTGTGATGACCACATGGTCTAGCGAAGGCGAGGAAGGCATCCAGGTGATGAGAGCTGGAGGAGGGACACTGGAAACCCAGAAAACCAAGCACAGAAGGGCAGACCTGCAGCTCAGGGAGCAGGCTCCATTTGCATGAAGGCTATGCGTGGCTGGCTCTGCTTGGAAATGCTTTTGGGGAGTGGAGTTGACCCCCCCCCCGCCCTTACCAAGAGGAGCACTTGGGGAATGGCACATGCTCTGCTGCGGGAGAGTCCAGGTTCTTATCCATGTGATGCCCATCTTCTACTTGGGCGTGCCTGGCCTTTGCTATCGGGGGCTACGTGGTGGAGTGGTGGAGTAGTAGCTCAGAGGTCAAGCTCTAGATGGTGATTGGCTCTGCTTTGCTTCCTCAGGCTCCATCCAACATGAAGTCCGTGCTTCAAGCAGGCTGGCTGCTGACGGTGGCCGTGGGGAACATCATTGTGCTCATCATAGCCGGGGCAGGACACTTCAGTAAACAGGTACAGGGCAGAAGGAGCTGGGATGTCCTGCTGCACTGGGAATGGTCATTCCCATGATCCTCTCGGTCTGTCTATGAACACCTGGTCTCTTGGTCTAATGGCTGGAGACAATTGCCAGACAGGGTTTTCACCCGTAGCAATGGAGAAGGGAGTGTCAATTCTAACTTCCACCTGCTGTTGCACATTTGGAAACTGACAAGTGAAATAACCAGTCTGCGTTGCAGGACATACACCCAGCATAGTTTTCTACCAAAGAAAACACCTCAGCTTGGTGCTGGTGACTCAGGTTTAGGATCTTAGCTTCTCAGGAGGCTGAGATCTGAAGATTGCAGATAGAAGCCAACCAGGGGAACCAAATCTAGGAGTCATCTCTGATGCATAGCTCAAGTGGTAGAACCTTGACTGTGGATGAAAAAGCTAAGCAACAGTGCTCTTGAAGCCCTAAGTTCAAGCCCAGTACCAACATAAAACCAAATAAATGAGTGAATATATTTAAAAAGAATGTGATATTCATCACATAAAAGCCCTAAAGCAGGGGAGAATGATGGAAGAAGCTGACACTGACCAAGATGCACTATACTTATACATTGACATGCTGAATTGAAACACTTCTGCACAATTATGTACACATAATTTTAAAAATAAATTTAATTTTAGAAACAAGAACTCTAAACCAACACACCATCTAGAAACTTTCATGATACCTAAAGTTTAGCCATAGTGAAGGCTGTTTTCTAGCTATAATAAAATGAAGATGTTTCTGATATTTAAACTTCTAGCCTGAGGCAGACAAGCTCTGCCAGATATGAGTCTATCATCTCAATCTGTTATGGCTTCCCACGTCTCATCAGGCCCCAAAGGTATGTTAATGCCATGAGTGCATGAATTCACAGTGTTACCAAGGGATGATACAAGATCTGGGTAAAATTCTAGCATATTCTTCTTCCCACAGGGTACTGCTTAAAATTCTCTTGGTCCCATTCCACAGGCATCAGCCTTACCTATTTATTTATGTATTTATTTATTATTTATAGTACTGGGGCTTGAATTCAGTGCTTTACCTCTCACTTGGTTTTTGTGCTCAGGGCTCTACCGCTTGGCCACTTGAGGCCACACCCTCTACTTCTGGCATTTTGCTGATTAATTGAAGTTAAGAATCTCATGGACTTTTTCGGCCCGGGCTGGCTTTGAACCACGATCCTCAGATCTCAGCCTCTTGAGTAGCTAGGTTAATAAGTGTGAACCATCAATGCCTGATCCAGCTACATACCTTTTTTTTTTTTTCTGGTGCCAGTTGTGGGGCTTGAACTCAGGGGCAGGGCACTGTCCCTGAGCTGCTTCAACTCAAGGTTAATGGTCTACCACTTGAGCCACAGTCCCACTTCTGGCTCTTTCTGAGTAGTTTATTGGAGATAAGAGACTCACAGACTTTCCTGCCCAGGCTGGCTTCAAACCACAATCCTCAGATCTCAGCTCCTGAGTAGCTAGGATTATAGGCGTGAGCCACCAATGCCCAGCTCATCTACTTATCTTAAGGCTTGAATACCTCAGAAATTTTCTCTCATCTTCCCGAAGGCTTACGTTTCTGCATTTCTATGCTGTGAGAAAAAAGTTAGCTGTGACTTAGGCATTTGAAAAGAAATGTCCAAGTCTGTCCCTGAATTGATTGCCTGCCCATTTTCAATAATTTTTTTTGGGGGGGTCCGGTTGTGGGGCCTGAATCTGGGTCTAGGCGCTGTCCCTCAGCTCTTCAGCTCAAGGCTAATGCTCTACCACTTGAGCCACAGCGCCACTTCCGACTTTTTTCTTTTTGCTTATGTAGTGCTGAGGAATCGAACCCAGGGCCTCATGCATGCAAGGCAAGTGCTCTACCACTGAGCCACCTTCCCACCCTTCAATAATTTTTTAAAGCACTTTCTACCTAGTCATAGCAAGAAAATGTTTCTGCAATGCATACATATACATGTTCACATGACTTTGCTTTTATTATCCTTTTTTCCCCCCTTACTTCCCCTTCAAAGTGGGCTGAGTACATTCTATTTGCGGCTTTGCTCCTGGTCGTCTGTGTGATATTTGCCATCATGGCTCGATTCTACACTTATGTCAACCCAGCAGAGATTGAAGCTCAATTTGATGAGGATAAGAAGAAGAATGCAGAAAACAACAACCTGGGTTCCACATCGGAGCCTGTCTCCCAGACCAGGATGTGAAGGGCATTTGGCAAGGGCAAAATGAACTGCACCCAGCCTGGGCCCTGACCTCTGTCCCCAGGTGGCAGGTTGCTCCGCTGAATGAATGGCCTTTGATGGGGAAGACTTATTGTGAACCAAACCAAGAAATCAATTTTATAAGCAGTCATCGACGAATCTGAAACTCTAGATAAAGTCTTTTTTTTAAGTCTTATTTAAAGCTTCTTTTTTTAACACTAACAGCTTATATCTCTCCTGTCATACAAATGAGCTTAGTTTGGACTAACTTAATTGGGAGAGGGCTCCATATTGTTTTTGTTCTAACACTGTGGTGAAAACAATATTGAATGTGGCAGGAGCCAATGCCAAAAATGACCTCACAGGAATAGTAAATACAAGCTAGTAGTAACTGATAACTTAAAGATTCCTTTATTTTCCCAACCTCTACCTCTTTTTAAATTATGTATGACTAAAAGCCACACAAGTGAAGGCCAGTCGTAGTTTTTGAAGTTTCACTTGTATGAAATAAAATTCTTGTTCTTAATAATAAGTATCTGTGTATCTTTGAGTAAAAAATCTTTAACATGCTGTCTGGTTATAAAAGCAATATATGTTCATTAACGTTTCATCCAAAGTCAATAAAAGCATTAACAAAAGCAATGCTCACATAAGTAAACCCCAGGGACATGGAACATCCAAGTTTGTTTCTTCCTGGTCCTGTTTCCCCCCCCCGCCCCCCCCTCCCCCTGCCCAGGAGGGTAATAAAAATCTACATCTTTTCTTACTAGGATCTTTCTACACTCACATATGTGTACATTTTATAGTATTTTTCCTCAATACTGATGAGCACTTCCTGCTTGAAGGAAAAGTCCTTCCAAAAGAGTGTAAACCTTCCTACAGATACTTTGCCACTCCTATGCAAACTGGCAATCGTTCTTAGGCAAACTAGTCCACAGTGCTGGAGGTCACCTTGGTTCCTGGACTAGGAGGGACAGTCTGTTACTGATGAGCTGTATGCAAACGCAGTATTGCATGTAGAAGCTGTGTTGAAGGGGAAGTTTGAAGTCCAGAGTGAGGGACACAAATGTGCTATCAAATATTGCTCAAAGCCTTCTGAGGCCTAGGATCATCTCCATTTCCTGACGAGGGCTCCATTTCCTTGGGACATGTTTTATTTCTCTCTACAGATTCTTATCTAATCACCTTGAACTTCTGTGGCTGGAATATATCAAGTTTTCATTCACAGATCAAAGGGAAAAAAAATCAGATCCTAAGACACATTCTCTATCCACCAGCCTCAGCCCCTCCTCTGGGCTCAGCCTCCTTCATTCCCATTTTCAATTTCCCGTCAGTTTTCCCATCTGCCCTCCCTGCAGCATTTGGTGACATTCTTCCACACTTCAACACAACATTTCAGACCTCACTGTAGAGTCACAGTTGAACTCACCGAGACTGCAAGCACTGTGTGAATCTTGTTCACTGACCCCCAGAACATGATAGTCTTCTTTAAACATTGTGTGCTATCAGGAAGTGAAAGTAATCAGATTTCATCTGAACAAATTACTGGCATCCAATCAGAACATGACTGAATGAGCCTAATCACAAACTCCAATATAAAAGACTAGACCTAGGGGAGACATTGTCCAAAAAGAAATGTACTCTTTACCTGACTTATGTAACTGTAACCCCTCTGTCCGTCACCTTTATGCCAATAAAAAATATTGTTAGGGCAGGGAATGTGGCTTAGTGGTAAAGTGTTTGCCTAGCATGCATGAGGGCCTAGGTTTGATTCCTTGGTACCACATAAAATTAATAAAATGAAAGGAAAAATAACCATTAAAATTATTTTTAAAAAATTTATTTTAAGACTAGACCAAGGGGGTCACTAACCTTGTCACTCTAGTGGCTTCTATTCCCTGATTAACATTTTGCGCCTTTGATAGTGAAAAACAATAGTTACAGTACCAGCCCTCAATTTCCACTGCCTCACTCTTGACAGTAATTGAAAGAGCTAAAGCTGATCCTGAATCCCAACTTGTTTTAGGTCCCCTTTCTTTTGTGAGATAGAACCCCAGACCATCGGAGGCCTTTGAAGTCTTGTGTGAGGGTTCCCGGCACACAGTGAACTTCCAGATCATCTGAGTGAGCCAAACCTGATATTAACATGGCAGCCAGCTTTGCTGCGGTGGATTGAGATGACACCTTTTGAAGGGCATGAGCAGGGAAAGAGGGGAGCTTGGGAACCTTGTGCCTCTGTCTCTTCCAAGACTGACAGATGCCTGTATTGGTGTTCTGCTCACAAGGCCTTGAAAACTACCCTTTGCCATGAGTAGGGTGACAAAGGGAACACACAGGTGTTATCAATAACCTCTGCTCTTCTGCCCTTTCCTAGCAGTTTTCCATTTTGTTTTGGTTTTCTTTTCATCCATCTCTTAACTCTAGGCTGATGGGTGTCTGCACTGACTGGTGGACCCTTGTTTGAACACTAACTCACTGACTTAGCACTGTCTTGCATGGTGCTAGGGACAGAGTCCCCTGGAACAGACTTGAGAGCTGAGATCTAAAGATCTTCCTATTCTCAGAAGTATTTCCAATGTAACTATGAATTCATTTCCATGCCACGCTGATTTTCCTCTGGCCTACCTGATCCTGTTTTATCACTTGGTGGATGCTATTTATTTCAGGATACTTTGAGTTTCTTTTAGAATTTATGAAGGCATTTCAGTACATGGATGTTCAAGTTTGCCCCTGGTTGACTAGTTTATCTATAGAATTTGTCATGGATTCTGAAATTTTTTTTCTTGTGACACTAGGTGTTGAACTCAGAGTCTCACACTTGCTGGGCAGGCAATCTACCATTTGAGCCAGACCTCCAGCCTCCAATTTTTTCTGTACTCTTTAATGACAAACAACAGTGTTTATCGTATACTGAATGTTGGGTGTGAACATGTGGAGCACTCAGCCCTCCCCTGAATTACATGGATAAAGGTGCCATCTCTGATTATTCCCATTCCACATAGGGTGACTGGCCCAGGGCCCCCCAACAGTCCAACTGTACAGGTCAGACTCAACCATATCAGCTACCTCTGCCCACCAGTGTTAATCAGCCATGTAGAATACCTCATCCTACTCCTTATAACTACAGGAAGAAGGTTTTATGGCCCTCATTAGAGGTAAGGAAATGCGGGAAGCCAACTTGAGTAACTTACCCGGGACTTTATATCCAGCATTGACTATATCAATATTTGAACCCCAGTATGCCTGAACTAAGAGAAGAACCCGCCTCAATGCCATTAGGCTATTGAGTCAACTTCCACATGCCAGGAAGAAAACCTGGGATGGCCAGAGCCATGGGAATGGGGAAAACAAAACAAAGAGGGGGCGGGGGCCTCCAGCATGGACCCCACCCTGAGACAGAAGAGAAACCAGGAGATTTCAACTTCCTTCCCCATCTTAAAGGGAGCAAGGGTCCTGTGAGGATGGTACAGGAAAATTCTAGATTCTTCGTCTCCCTCCTCATGGAGGGAGATTGATGGATGATTGGATGGACATCCTACGCGCCAAGAGCTGTCTCAAGGTGACTCCCTCAACCAGGTCACAGCCCTGAACTCACCAGCAGAGGGCAGTGTTGCCTGGAAGGGGGGGAGTGACAGTGAGACCTCAGGAGGACAGGCCACCGTGCTGCAGAGAAGGAAGTCAGCCAGGACCCGTCAGGGGTCCCAGCTCAGGACAGCCAGAAATGACCAGGCTCTTCCATTTTTCCTCCTCAAAAACAGCATTCTTTTTTTGTTTGTTTGTTTTTTGGGGGTCCGGTTGTGGGGTCTGAACTCTGGGCCTGGGCGCTGTCCCTCAGCTCTTCAGCTCAAGGCTAGCGCTCTACCACTTGAGCCACAGCGCCACTTCTGGCTTTTTTTTTCTTTTTGCTTATGTGGTGCTGAGGAATCGAACCCAGGGCCTCAGGCATGCAAGGCAAGCGCTCTACCACTGAGCCACCTTCCCAGCCCTCAAAAATAGCATTCTTAAGCGTAGCAGTGAGTGACATGAACTACATTCACACGGTTGTACCATAGTCTCCAGTGGCCCTCTGGAAAAACAGAAGAGCAATTCTCCTTCACTCGCTTTTCTCCTGTGATGCCCAGCGCTTAAGGGCTTTCTAGAGAGCACCCTGGATCATGGCCTTGTCTCAACCCTGATCAAAGGCCGTAAATGGAGGGACCTGGCCTCCCCCGCTCCCCCCCCCCACACACAGCCCTGCAATGCCCTGGCCGCCACTGAGGCTGCAGGGAAGGAAGGAGGCTTTCCACAGGCCTCCCAGCACTGGCCTTGGGCCAACTCTGGCAGCATTCGATGGCTTGTCTGCTTCCGTCTCATGAGACTGCTCAGCTCCGTGGCTGTGTTTAAAGACAGAAGGAACAGGAACTGAAGCTGGTAGGTTGCTATTCTGGTGCCTGGCACAAAGAGCCACAGGCTTCTTAGGACTTGGTGCAAAGGCCCTAGGAGCTGCGTGCCGGGAGCAGAGGACCGGAGCAAGTGACGGGAGGCCCGGCCTGGGCAGAGTGAGAGTTCTCATTAACAGGCTCCTCCTGAACCCTGCAGCCCCCAACACCCCAGGACAGCAAGGAGAAGGGAACTCAGGCCAGGCATTACAGACCCCAGCTGACGTGTGGTAGGCAGCAGTGGAACCAACAGCCCTTTCTCCAAGTTGTGACTTTGGGTAGAAATGGCTTCTCAGCCTCCAGCACCCCCTTATGGTCACCCTTCAGCTTTGTCTCTGGTAAGATGGACCCCAGTTAGACCCACCTGCCACAAAACTGACTTTCAGAAAGACTAACCTTTATGGAGACTGACCTTTAGTTAGACTGACCTGCAAGAAGACTGACTTTAGCAAGAGCAACCTTCAGCAAGACTGAGCTTCAGCAAGTCTGACCTTCAAAAGGACTAACCTGTAGCAAGACCAAACTCCAGTAAATCCTTAGTCTTACTAGGATCTCTGATCAGATTTGCAAACCGAGAAGAGATTCAGGATAGGCCATGCTCAGCCTCCAAAAGCTGCTGCCCGGATGTGTCCAAGAATTATTCACTAAGGATCCACAGCAGGCATCCAAGGAGGGGGAGCAAGAATGAGCAAAAGCATAAGAGTGTGTGTGTGTGTGTGTATGTGTGTGTGTGGTCCGCGCCCATGCACCCTGAATTGCTAACAGGAAACATGCAACAAGTGAAGCAAATGAAATCACGAGTGAAGTTACGGGAGGGTGGGACTCAGTTGCAGTAAGCAGTGATCCTGGATGTGTGGGGCGTGGAAGAAAGTGAGGTGTGAGGACTTCCTGCCAGAAAGACCTGGAAGTGGCCCAGGCAAGTGGGGCTCTGGGCAGGGAATGAGGAACTTGGGCGTGAGTTGCCTGCAGGTGGTTGGGGTAGGGACAGGGCTGGGGCAGACCAGGCTGGGTAATGTCCGTGCTTTCATGGGCTGGCACAGTGGCTGGGAAGAG